TTAAAAATCAGATATAATTCCGTGAGTTGTATTGTTGAGTAAAACGATTCTGTTGAAAATTACGGTTGCGTGCATTTGCAGTTTGTTCCAGAGAATTAGTTTGAGATCTTTAATGTGATTATTTCCTCGTATTTACATAATCCGCAGACTTGCAATACCAGCCCCCATGAAGTGTTATTTTTTCCGTAATTTCCACTAATTATTTATTCACATTAGCACACTAAATCGCTGTTAGAATAAACCTTCTGTTTTACGTAACGACTGGCGTAAGGGCAGAATTGTAGGAATTACCTGAGAAGGTTATATATAGTATCTTACAACATTATTATTGATACGAACTCTTTGAGAATCATGATTTGCTGTGGTATTTTTTTCGCGACTTGTCCAGATTTTCTAAGGTTTGAGATGTACGATTCCTTGAATTCAATCGCATCAAATTAATATATTGTAAATAATTCTACAAAAAATCTCAGTCAGACATATTCCAGAAGTGCTGCTCCTGCGAACAAATAACTAATCGATTATTTTGATTAGAAAAGAAATATAAATGATTAAAGGATATACAAATAAATGTAAAGTTTGTAAATGTATTTTTTAACTACTTATGAGCAAATGTGATTCTTTATTATTCAAAATAAATAACTCATTGCCAATTACGCATGGGGAATTTCAATGTAGAGGTTAACTCGCACGGTTAGCCCTGCTTAACAATTTAGAGCGGCGAGTTCGGCGAATTGCATTTAGCTATTGTGAAGAGCATTTTAATAGAGACGCCTAGAAACATGGGGTGGTATTATGGATACGAAGTCCCATGCATGATGGATTTGCTAATAATCGAATGTATATCATCACAACAAATTGCCAAGTCGTGTGTTTCTATGAAGAGCAGGCACAACACTGTGGCTTAGTGTTTTAATTAAGTTTAAATAACACGTACTCACTATCATTCCTACAAACTGCTTATAAAATTTGAGCCTAGACATTGACCATTAAAGCTACGTGCATTAATGGTCAATGCAGAAAATTTTTTGTCTCAGTTATTTAATGTAGATACCGATATTACGGGATAGGCATCGACCATTATGGTAGTATATGGAATGACAGTTGAAGCTTTTCGTGAGTGAAGAGGTTATGTAGTAATTATAAAATTAACATTTGCATTATTAATAAAGATTTCATATCTAGTGGGCCGATAAACTTCTATATAATAACTTCTAATTGACTAGGTCTCAAAGATGAATTACGAAGCAAAAAGTTTCAAAATTTATAGTAAATCCTAATTCATTATATTCATAATTATAGGAACTACTATATCTTACGTCCCAAATTTTTCTCATTGGCATTTATATTTTGATTAGGATATAAAGCTTAACAAACTTAAGAAGGAGATTCTTAGGACATGAATTGGGTAAAGAGAGCCACAAAATTATTTTAATGTGTTTAACCTTCCATAAGAGGATTTGCTCGTCTATCAAATTAGCCTATTAAAAGTTTCCTGGACTCTTCCACTTCCTTTATTGCAAATGCAAAGTAACGGCGTGTAAAGAATGCCTTTCGCAACTGCAAGATTCGTCTGAAGCAAAATACACGTGTATATTTTGAATTACCTCTCAATGTACATAAAAAATGTTGGGATCTTTCGATTTCATTCAGCCATTAAGATTGAAATATTTTTATTTCATACAGATAATTCTGAGGAGTTCAACGTTCCAAAGTACTGCTTCATATACTTCGTTAAAATACTACGTGAATAGATGTGGTCCTTGAAGATTCTAGATCTGGTGTCCCTTAGATGTTCTTTTATGTTGTATCCGTAATGAGATGTCTGAAACGGTTGGCATTTTGGTCAGATATTCACCCGTCCCCATGACGACCAAACTCATCCCCTTCCCCATGGCAGTTCGTCGCTTCTCGTCTCTACTTTTGCCTGCAACTGAACATATCATTACTGAAACATGTCAGTGCAAAACTTGTACATAAATTATTAAAAAATATAACTCAGTACTCACTTCAGTGAGTGACAGAGAGCGCATTTTCTCGTCGACGAAAACTTGAGGTCACGGACGGACGGACAGACGGACAGACAGACAGTCAGACGGACATGGCGAGCACAATAGTGCATTTTTTCCATAAATGAGAAAATGCGCTAAAAAGAATTACGTTCCTGTGATGAAAATAATAATATCTGACTTGTAAATGAACCTCGTCAGACGTTGACTCACAATTCATGAAAAAATTATCATGAGCTGCCAGTTTCTCCACTCTGTTTGGGACGCAATAAACTGGATTGATTTCGTTGCTAGGGCGAGATATAAGAACTGATAGAAGCTTTTTACTAATCCGCCAAATTTAGAGCAATTCTATTGTTGCATAAGTTTGCGAAATACACACACATTATGCTGCACGATTTATTTCCACAGTAGCATTTTACGGGAACGTTAATCAATATTTTGTTCTATGCCATTCGAATGAGAATCATGTTACGAGCACAAATCGTGCGACGCTTTCATAACGGTGCAACACCTTCAGTACTTACTGAGTTTATTCTAAGTGCAACATTATACTCGGATACAATGGAGCTCATTCATATATGTTTCATTAATTAAATAATTTATGGAGACTAAAATTCGTTTTTATGTTCTCTAATAATTACATGTAATTTTCTTCGCATATTGTTCAGGAATTTCAGATTGACGAAACTAATATTTACTGCTGTACTCAAGCTTGAGCTTTTCATGCGCAGAGCATTGAGTTCTTTGCCCTCTCTCGCTCTGATTTTGTCTGCACTTGCCAAAATAAGTAATCGAAAAATTGGTCTTTTATAAATTTTATAAGGTTCTCAACAAGGTTCTGCTAAATTTCTTATATTGTTTCCTTTCCGGGCTACTAATCGAATTATTTTTCCCTAACATTAACTAGAGAGACGTCTTCTTCTCTATAATACTAAACCTTTTAAGTTTTTGTAGCGCACATTTTGTTGCTTACTATTAATTCTTAACACTCATTGCTCATTACTAAAACTGAAGGAAGGCAGCCTGGGGCCATACTCTCAAAACTCGCTAAGTGAACGTAAGTACTTGCGCACTATTTCTTGTCTATGATTGGTGGATTTTGCTTGAAAGGCCTTCAATGATTGGCTGATGAACTTACGATCTCTTAACTTTTTTTGAAAGTATAGGCCTTGATCAGTAAATTGTTCAGGCTGCTTAATTGTAGAGCAAACATCTGTCCGAATAAAAGCGTAACTAAATTTGAAATACCATTTCCTCTGTGGTAAAATCCTTGTTAATTATGGCGCCACTTTATTACATACAAATAGATAATATTCATTCTTTTCCTCTCATCATTTATAACATTTAAACTTCCTAACGATTTTTTGGTGTAACATAAATCATATTTCTATTTAGATTGGTATAATAAAGCCAAGAATATCTTATTTTTTATTACTTATATTTAGAATAAACTCGGGAACCTTAGAATTATATTCATAACATTTCAAAGACTCGCTGAAATTTAAATTTATTTTTCTGAGCTTCGACCTGCGATGCCAGTGAACGTTTATCCTTCCACTCGTTGTGAGTAATCGAACATGCGCATAAAATTGGCCTTGATGATCAGGGGCCATACTTTCAAAACTGGCTAAGTGAACGTAACTACTTACGCTCTATTTTCTTGTCTGTGATTGGTGGATTTCGCTTGAAAGGCCGTCAATGATTGGCTGATGAACTTACGATCTCTTAACTTTTTTTGAAAGTATAGGCCCAGTAGACTATGACTACACTAAATTTCTAGAGGCAAATAAGTAAAATTTTCCACACAAATCAAACCATATATGAGGAGCATATAGGGTTGCATCGGGAGATGGAGTCTTTAGGTGGAAACTTTTTTTTGATGTTTCCTAGAGATGAGGTTGAGTTATCTTATAAATTAGTTTAGTAATTAGTATAATTAAATTCAAATAGACGATTTACTGGGACTTGGTTAAAAAGTTGAAGTTACTCTAAAATCGTGACTATAGGAATAGTGAAAAATATTTCTACAGTACTGTCGGCCTGCTAGCGGTTTCTGACTAATTGTTTGCAATTCTAGCGGAAAGATTACAATACACAAGGAGACCATAGATGTGATTATTGTTATGAAATGACATTTCGTAGATTTTAGACTACAAATGCTCAGGCTACACTATTTATTTTGCACTTCTGCTGTACATTTTTACAATTAAATAAATCTTGAATACAATTCCCTATATAACAAAGCTCTAACATTGTTAATTATGACACAACTTTATTGGTTTTTAATATGCAATTAATATACATGCGGTCCAGCGTATCCTTCATTACGTGTCAAGTTTTAAATGTCTAAATAATCTACAACCAGGATTGTTTAAAGCATTTTTAAAAAATCCTTATTAAGTCGACATCAAATCGACATTTTATTTAACGGTGCATATCTAATCTGTAGAATGAGAATGAGTATATATATATATTATATATACATATATAAGGTCGCAGGATTTTGGATTATGCAACAAAGGAGAAGTATCTATCCAGCTGCATTAAGACAAAACAATTTACTTTTTCATGCAACAATATCAGTCAGAAAGTTGGCCAAGTGAACATTAATGAATATAGCGGGCCAAATTGACAGTGCGCCCGAACGAGGAGAAAGGAAAAAATGTTAATAAATAAATATATCGTTAAATAATCGATACTTTCAATGAATCAAGTTTAACAACACTTTGGTAAGATTCACCTTCAGCCAAAACTACTTTGACTGTATTCATTCCGTGCGAAATACATCTCATGCAGCACGTCTTGTTTTCCCTAACAAGAAACTATTGAATTATCCCGCACTAGACGCTAAATAATGTCGGCCTTTGTATACAATGTATGGCTAAGCAAACTGAATTAAAATTCCATCAGTAATAATGAAAAATAACTTCAATTTTTGAGCTTGCAACTTGAGTAAATTTCAATAGATTTTTTTATATAGCGATGAGTAGTTACTGCACCAGGCCTAATAGAGTAGAAAATTTATTTCGTTGTATTGAAGGTTTTGTCTTAGTCATCATCGAATAGGATGTTCTTAGACTGACTTATGTCGTTATCGTTGCCGTTCATGAGCCATCCGTAGAAATTTTCCAGTTTGTCATCCTTCTTGCTGTCTGTACTTTTCTTCTTCCCCTGCAATTCTGACTTCAAATCATCCAGCTTCTTCCATTCTTTATCCCTTTCCATTTGTTCCTGCTGCTTCGCACTGCGAAGTTCTTCCAGTTTCTTGTTTTTGGATTCTTTCAACTTCTCCCTTTTTTCTAATTCTTTCTCGAGGAGCATTTTCTCCCTGGTTTTTCTTTGGTCTTCCATTTTTCTTCTTCTTTCTCTCTCTATCTCATCTCTTTCATGTTTTAGTCGCAGTTCATTTTGACGTCGTTCAATTTCTTCTGCCTTTTTCTGTTTTTCTTCATTTCTACGTCTGGCCTCTTCCTCTTTTTCCCTCTGCAACCGTTCATATTCTTTCATCTCTCTTTCTCTCTCTTCCATTTCCTTCTTCCTTTTTGCCTGTTCAGCTCTACGCTGCAATTCTTCCTCTTTCTTCAGTCGTGCTGCTTCCTTTCGCTGCTTCTCTGATTCTTTTTTCCTCGCTCTTTGCTCTTCGATTTCTGCCCTTTTGGCTTCTTCTTCCAGCTTTCTTTTTGCTTCTTGTTCCTTTGCCTCTTCTTCTTTTTTCCTAATCGCTTCCTCCAATTTCTTTCGTTCTTCTCTCTCCTTCTTTAATTTTTCTTCGTGTTCTTTTCTCAGCTGTTTCTCTTTCTCTAGTAATTCTTTTTCCTTCATTGATAATTCCCTTCTCTTTTTTTCTTCTTCCTCCCTCTTTTTATTTTCAGCTTCTAATTGTTTTTGTTTCTCTATTTCTTGCTTTCTCAGTTCTTCTTCTTCTTTTTTGGTTCTGGCCACTTCTTTAGTTTGTTTCTTTGCATCTTTTCTCCTTGCTCGCTCTTCTTCTATTTCCTTCCGTCTCTTTTCATCTTCTTTAGCCTTTCGTTCATTGTCTTCTTCCTGTAGTTTTTCAGTTTCTTTTTGCCGCAACTTTTCTTCTTTTTCTCGTTTCCTTTTTGCAGCTTCTTCCTCATTACGAAGTTTTTCCTTTTCTTTGCGTGACTTTTCTTCCTCTTCTTCCTTCCTTTTCTTCTCTTCTTCTTTCTTCTTGTTTTCAATGTCTTCCCTCCTCTTGATTTCTTCTTCTTTTCGCTGACGTTGTTTTTCTTTCTCTTCTTTTTTCAAGTCCTTTCGTTTTTCTCGTTCTTCTTGCAACTTCTTTTTTTCCTCTTCTTCTGCCTTCTGCTTTTTCTCTGCCTCTTCTTTTCGTTTTCGCTCTTCCTCCTCTTTCTTTTTATTAGCTTTTTCTTTTTCTTCTTCCGCCTTTCTTTCGGCTTCCTTCTTTTTCTTATCTTCTTCCTCCTTTTTCTTTCGCTCTTCTTCTTCTTTTCTCCTTCTCTCTTCTTCTTGCTTCTTCCTTCTATCTTCTTCTTCTTTTTTCTTTTTCTCTTCTTCTTTCCGCTTTTTCTCCTCTGCCTCTCTTCTTTTGTTTTCCTCTTCTTCAAGTCTGCGCTTTTCTTTCTCTTCCTCTTGTCGCCTCGCCTCGTCTTTCAAGCGCTGCTCTTCTTCTTGCTTCTTCTTCTCTTCTTGTTCTCTCTCCCTCTCCTTCAGTATCTCCTCCGGCGTCATCTTGACTCGCTTCTTTTTTTCAGTGGACGCGCCGGTCGCCCGTTTATCTCGCAGGTAATTCGCTAAACTCATCGTCAGGCTGTGAAATATTCCTGTAAAATTTACATGTTACTTATAATTTGTCATTTGCATTTCTTCTAACCAAGCAAACTGATCGGTAATTACACAAATTATGTCAATTATGTAAAAATTGCAAGTTTTTGACAAATATTTATCCGTAAAATTTATATGTGGAATATACTTACGCAGTGGACGGGGTGAATGAATGGCAGATTTGTGGTGAACAATCGCCGTACGTCTTAAAGATGGGCAAATAATTCGTGCCGAGTCGGACGCTATGGACAGGCTGATGTCGATACGCTGCTTGATGTTGATTAATATCTGCTGCCTTCCGATACTCGGCTGTCTGAGGTAAATACAATATTAGTTTCTCTGAAGGAGTGCAAAGTATATTAATAGATTTTATTTGACTAACAAAGTATTGCTTATGACTGCCTTTTAAGCAACTTAGTAGATATTAGTAGGTGTTTCGAAAATGATAAATCATTCAATCCTGTTTATTCCGAAGGCAAATAATAAATTTGGTTTCACATAAGCCTTTAATGACACTGAATTCTACTAGCATATGAAGATTATTATCCTTTAAACAATTATCTTGTCGTTTAGAGCTGTTATATTTGGCTCTTTTACTTAAAAACATCCACAATATTCAGAAAACGGTCGAAAAATTGAGTATTGTCTAGGCGAATATCTTCAATTAATACGTAGAGATCAATATAAATACGTGATTTTAAATCATTTCTTTTGGTATCGATCTCATGAAACCCAAGTCCGAGGTCAAAATCTAACTGGAACGTGCATAAAGCTGCTCCGCATTCCTCATATTGTCATAAAATTAACAAATCCAGTACCGAAAAATACTGGATAACAAATTAGATTTACAACAATACTAAATTGCAGTATTCTGAAAACTTTAGCAGATGAGATGGATTGATTGTTACTTGGTTTCATGTTACCAAGGCAACGCATCAACAGTGACGATTGATATTTGGCATTGATTTGAACGCAGTTTCGAAGGTCAACAAAATTTAACCGCACATCTGAAAGATTGATGAAGCATGGCACTATTTTTTATCAGGAAATTTGAGGCACTATTCTTTTATCAGGAAATTAGCAATTTGAAATATCGACAAAGTTTTAAATTTACTTTCATCAAAATTATTTTCAGAAATCGCTATGGGCCACTTTATACCTCCTACCTTATGTTATGTAAAATGCTGGAAGTACGACGCGTCTTTAATTATCAATAAAAATATAATTATGAAGTATTCTCACCTTTATAGCTGCTCAAGCGAGGGTTTAAAGCTGGTCAATCAAAAATTTTCTTATGGTTTGAAAATATAGTGCCTTTTTTTTTTAACCAGTGACTGATCCATTGACACCAAATATTGCGAATAACGTCTTCCATATACACAGTGTTACGGTGATATAATATAATCCTAATACTAATATTCAATGTTTCAATAGTTTAACTAAGCTTCAGCGTGAAACTTATTTTCCTGAAGTAATATGAACCAGGAACAAAGATGTTTGCAAGAACAACATAAATATTCAGTCTCGAGTTATCAAATTTTATCTAATATGAATATTGCAATAGATGGCATGCGCAACTCTAAGTCTGTATGTCGTTGCGCTGGCCAAATGGCTACTGATCAGAGAGATCTCGATCGCTGCCCCGAACTTCACTGAATACGAGCTATGTCGTAGGTCATCACCATGACTGCGTGACCAGCTCAATAGTGTCGGCTTGTTACCATGACTTTATTTTAAAAGTTGATGGGTGATATGAAATTTATCCACAAAAATATCACCAACATCAGATATTTAGGTCCATTTAATAACATAGGCACTTTATCTATCTAAACCATATTTATCCTGTGTGTAATTTCAACTGTTTTAACCCATATTGAAGTAAACAGTACGGTTACTAGTCTCGTCCGTACTGAACGCGAAGTCAAACGTCATGAATGCCAAGCTTCGGCTGACACTACATGGATACTTTACCTGTAGTCAGCTGACCTTCCACGTGCACATTAATTTGTCCTCGGTCATCAGGCACTCATTTCCCCTCTTTGAGATAGCATTCCGCGTTCACTTACCTATTACCAGTGAGCCATTACTCCGCGACACTTCCCCTCTGCCAGCTCGTGTTCTTATACTATCATTTATCAGCTCCTTTTGCTTTGTTCTCAATTTGTTTTTTTTTCATTCTAAGTGCCTTTTCTATAGTCTGATGACAGTACGATACCAATTAACTGAAATTTTAAACAACTGGTTTCTCAGTCCTGCTCTTGGTAGGCAGGTCATCCTCGCCGGTAAGGCTAAAGGTTCTCTTACCTTCCTGCTTAAACTGATAAGGTTTTCATAATTCTTTGTCAGGTCTACTTAACTAATCGTATTCACTTGTGGGTTGCCACTCACTACCTGTTAACTTGAATTCCACGTGCTATCACTCAATTCCAAATGGTTATTCATCGTCGAAAACTCACCTTATTCTTCAGAGCGCTCACCATTCATAGATTCGCCAACTTCCCCAATGTAGTTCTCGGAATTTTCTGTAGTTTTTAATGGCATTCATAGTATCTTCTGCTCTTCTGGTACACGAGTATCTCCTGCTCTTCTGGTACACGAGTATCTTCTGCTCTTCTGGTACACGAGTATCTCCTGCTCTTCTGGTACACGAGTATCTTCTGCTCTTCTGGTGCACGAGTATCTTCTGCTACCGTCTTTGGTAATTAATTTGTCCTATGCACAGAACCTCAAGTATTCGAATTTAATATGATGCTTGACAAGCACGGATAAACTGCAAAGTTCTGGATTGCGTTTTACTCTGGCAATCTTCTGAAAATCTAGATTCATTATTTTAACTTCCGAGCCCTCTCAGTGATTCAGGAACTGATACAGTCCCACCAACAACGAAGAGACGAAAGTTAGCAAGTTTCTTCATTCGTATTTGAATTTCAACGTATAAATATACGTGACTCGTTCGATCATTTTCGTTACACATACAACAATATTATAAATAAGCCTGCAGTTAAGGCAGAGCAGCATTATTTTACAAGCTTTTAATGTTTGGAAGATTTATTGCCCTTATGCATAGGTAGAACTTAAATCCTTTTTGATTTCTTTTTCATGGTTGCAACGGTTCGAAACGAAAATTCAAAAGTTGTTATATATTTCAACAAGTTGAGAAAAACTCAGAGGGCGAGATTTCTCTACAATTATCAGTACATTAATATAATATGATATTTGGATGTCTTCTAGTAGGATCAAGTCGTATAGCTCTCAACCGCATTAGTAGCTGAAAAGTCAAGATGTCCGTTTTTTTTCGTTCCAGCACTTCCCCCATATCATAGGGCAGCTACGGATGCCGCACAGCTTTCATGTTAAACTTTGCTGGCTGCGTCACTCACTTACAATCCTGGGCCTATACTTTCAAAAAAAGTTAAGAGATCGTAAGTTCATCAGCCAATCATTGACGGCCTTTCAAGCCAAATCCACCAATCATAGACAAGAAAATAGAGCGTAAGTACTTACGTTCACTTAGCGAGTTTTGAAAGTATGGCGCCTGATTAGAAATCGTCATCGGCGAAAAGTACATTCTTAGAGTTAGTTATGTCATCGTCACCGCTCATTATCCAGTTAAAAAACTGATCGAAATTGTCAGGCTTCCTTTCTTTGTTCTTGCCTTTCAATTCTTTCTTCATTTCTTCTAATCTGTTCCATTCTTTTTCCCTTTCTTCTTTTTCTTTTTCCTTTAGTTTCCTCAACTCGTCGCGTTTTCTTTCGATCTCTTCTTTGTGCTTCTGTTTCTTGTCAAGTTCTTTTTGAATTAAAGATTTTTCTCGTTCTTTTCGAGCTTCTTCCATCTTTTTCCTTCTCTCTCGTTCTATGGCATCTCGATCGTGTTTTTCTCTTAGTTCTTTATCTCTCTGTATCCTCATTTCTTCCTCCCGTCTCGCTTCTTCTTCCTTGGCTTCTTTAAGAGCTTGCCTCTCTTTTTCAATTTCCTCCAATTCCTTGAGCTTCATTACTTCTCTCAATCTTTTTTCTTCTGCTTCTCTTTTTGCAGCCTCCATTTCTTCCTTATCCCTCATTTCTTTCTCTTTCTTCAATCTTGCTTCTTCTTTTCTTGCCTTTTCTTGCTCTTTCCTCTGTCGTCGCTTCTCGTCTATTTCTTGCTGTGTTCTTTCTTTCTCGGCCGCTAGCATTCTTAACTTTTCGTTTTCTTCTTCTTCTCTCTTCTTCTTCATATCTTCTAAATTTCGTAGTTTTGCATCGTGTTCTTTTTTAAGCCGTTCTTTTTCTTTTGCCAGTTCTTCTTCCTTTTTCATCAGTGCTGCCAGTTTTGCCTCCTCTTCCATCTTTTTCCTTGTAGCTTCTTCCTCCGCTTTTCTTTTATCTAATTCTTCTTTATCTTTCTGTAGTTTTTCTTTCTTTAGTCTTGCCATTTCCTTTGTTTCTTTTTTGGCCAGTTTTCTCTTCTCTCGATCTTCGGCCAGTTTTTTCGCCTCCTCCTCCTTGCGTTTTTGATCTTCTGCGTCTTGTGCCGCTTTCGCTTCCGCTTCTCGTTTCTTCCTTTCTTCCTCGTCCCTTCTTCTTTTCTCTTCTTCGCTTTTTCGCTTCTTTCTTTCCTTTTCTTCTTCTTCTTCTTTTCTTTTCGCTTCCTCTAATTTTTTTAATTCTTCTTCTTTCTTCTTTTGCTCTTCTTTCTCCTTTCGAAGTCTCTCAGCTTCCGCTAATTTAGCTTGATCTGCTTCTTTCTTCTTTCGCTGGGCTTCTTTTCCTTCTTTTTTAGCATCTTTCCTTCTTTGTCTCTCAGCTTCAAGCTCTTCTTTTTTCTTTTTTTCTTCTTCTTCGGCTTCTTTCTTTTTCCTTTCTTCTTCTTCTTGTTGTTTTTTCCTTTCTTCTTCCTCTTTCTTTTTCTTTGCTTCTTCTTTCTTTTTCTTCTCTTCTTCCTCTGCCTTCCTCTTCTCTTCTTCTTCTCTTTTTCTCATTTCTTCTTCTGCCTTCCTTTTCTTATCTTCTTCCTCCTTTCTTTTCTTTTCAGCCTCTTCTCTTTTCTTTTTTTCTTGTTCCTCCTTCTTCTTCTTTTCTTCTTCTTCCTTCCTCTTTTTTTCTTCAGCTTCTTTCTTCTTTTTATCTTCCTCTTCTTTCTTCTTTCTTTCTTCTTCTCAGCTGAACTTTTCATAAATTCAATGATTTTTGAAAGCCGGAGTGAATGACGTTGTCGTTTCTTGAGGTTTTCTTTAGGTGCCGATTTGCTCTCGTGAAGATATTGAAGGGGCCTCCGAAATATAATGAGTATTCCACATTTGTCAATAGTTGGTCAAATGATGCGCTGTGATCGACGAGTGGTCGGCACACCACTCAAGGCTGTATTCGATGAGTGGTCGGCACACCACTCAAGGCTGTATTCGATGAGTGGTCGGCACACCACTCAAGGCTGTATTCGATGAGTGGTCGGCACACCTCTCAAGGCTGTATTCGATGAGTGGTCGGCACACCATTCAAGGCTGTATTCGATGAGTGGTCGGCACACCACTCAAGGCATGTATTCGTTGAGTGGTCGGTACACCACTCAAGGCTGTATTCGACGAGTGCTCGGCACACCTGTGAAGAAGCAAGATGGTATGAGTGTTTCAAAATTCCAGAAGCGCCTCGATCATATGGGGAGAGTGGTAGTGGTGATCACTGTTATGGGGCGACAAATGGGTGCAAACTATGTATGAATTTTCCACGATTTAACAAGCAAGTACGAGGAAACTCAGGTCCACCCAATAAAAAATGCTGATAGATATCATAGTGGCTTTTCAGGCTATAAAGCCATTTTTGCTTCAAGTAGGACCTTATGTGGACCACGATTTTCGCTTACTGGCTTTACGTCAGTGGTTGAAACCCGTAGGGTTATTGGCTTCTTAAATAGAGCTTCGGAGTTAAACCTATTTTGGTCACTTGCCTTAAATAGTGCTGTGAATTAACTTGAGTGCTTGCATGCACTCACCTATTTAAGTACGAGCGAACACTCCTGTTACTGTTTGTCTTTATTTTCCTTCTTATTGTTCTCTACACGAGAACTCTTGTCTTGGGTTCCTCAACGGAAACAAATTGGTTAGTTAATTTGATCATTTTGTAATTGTTTTTCGTAATTCATTTTCTCTTCTTACTGAAGCAAACTGTGTTACATCTTGAATGAATTTTGAAGATAGGTTCTAACTTCTTATCTAATTTATCCAGATAAGAATCCACCAGATCTCCGTAACATGCAACTTGACCTGCAAACTTGTCAGCTTGCTTCTTTTTTAGTTACCTTACACTACATTATTTTATTCTAAACCCCGCGATTTAATAGTGAGATTAAAGAGGCATCTAACTAGCTTTACAGTGACTTATTCCTTTGAATTAAATATTGTTATATTCAGTCCTTGATTTCTGTACTTTTACTTCTAACAGCCAATTTTCCCTGCAGTGCGAACCACTGCCGCGGTTATCTGTTCTTCAACTGGCCGCTGTTCGCCCACTTCGTTTGGCGTTAAATAAAGTGTCTCTATTTTCATTAACTTCTTTTAATTTCATTTGCACTGAAATTCAATAACATTTATTATTTTTTAAGCATTTCGGAAAAAATTCCAGGAATTAAGATGAATTTGGGACTAATTTTGTAATTATGAATATTTGTTCTGCCTATTTCTTCATGGTTAGTTCACATAAGCAGTGTACTAGGTTAATATTGTTACGAGGAATCCAATTTCTCGTCAGACGGTTTTGTTCTCTGATTGTGTCTGGTGCATTATGAGGGAGTTAGTGAAATGTGCTTTGACAATGGCCCGGTGCAAATAAATCATGTCATCAAGATTCAGTTGATGCGCTCATTTCTTTGCACTGGAACATCTGTGAAGGACAAGTATCTAATACTGTGGCTCAAGACGGTGACTCGGTATCTTGTTTAGATAGGGGGTTTCTCCCAGTACATTACCGAATTTTCGGAAAATAATAATTTTATTATTGTAATAGTTCTGAATGAAATTTCTCCTAAAATTTTGTGCTCTCTTAAGTGCAGAATTATTTCCGGAAAATTTTCAAAGTTTACTCGGCCAAAGATTAGCGTCTTTGAGTCACAACGAAAGAAAACTAATTTGACAAGCTAAGTAGACTGAATATGCAACGTACTTATTTATTATTGCATCACATTATCCCAGAGCGTGCCAACACCGCATTAAGAAAATGAGAGTGAAATAAAGGACACACAGGAACATTGATGACAATGAACACTGAGCATATGAAATAGTGAAATGATGTTATATGATATGAATATTTATAGATACACTTTCCATAATGTAATTCAAACTCAAAATGACAATGAACATTGAACATTTAAAATGATGAAAGGACATTTTATGATAAAAATATTTGAATAAAATGTTGAGAAAGTACTCCACAGTAATAAATTTTGTCACTAAAAGATGCAGCACTTGTATAACAGGAAAATTTCACGTCATCATCTGACATGAGAAGAACATAAAAAACAACTATTGAAGAAATAAAGAAATTCGGTCATGTTTACAGGACGTTTATAGCCTTAAAGTGACACTAAAACGTCCCAGGTTTTACGGAACGATTGAAATTTACAACTCCTCACGAAAGAGATAGAAAAAATTCATTTGAATTCGGTTACTTATGGCTGTATTATCAAGGCTCTTAGAAGATTTTACTTTTAGGGGACTGAACGCAACCAAACAATAAAAAAATTCAACAATGACCTGGTTTACCACAGATATTATCCATTCTATCTCAAGGCAAATATAATGATAACAATATTTCATGCAATAATATTTATCGGTAATTTATTATTATATATAGTTATATTTTATATAATGTTTAACAATTGTGAGATACTTTTATTTTATATATGAATTTCACAGTCATGTCATATTTGTCCGCTCAGTTCGTCGGCTCAAAAGCCATTTGCCACAGAGCTTTTCTTAGCTCAACCATAAATCAAGTTAATATCAAGATAATATCGGGGTAAGTAGCAATGACCATCGCTCATGCCATTAAGATCTCTACATGCTGATATTATTTCGTGGCGCATACTTGTTTCTAGAGACGAATGAGACTCATGGATTTGAGATTAATAAAGAGGTCTGTATGAGGCTATTCAGTCTCCAGGTGGTAGCCACAGTAACAAATGTTGTGTTTTGGGTCTTATTGACTACTTTTTAATGCTATAGCTGGATACTGGCTGAGATTATGAACATTTTTGCAAGAAATTATTTTATTTCATATCAAGATTATATAAATATTACTATTCAAGGTCTTGTATAATCTTGCATGCATTGAATTTTTGCCAGATATTATATTTTATAACTTTATTATATGTTTTAGTATTCAAAGGCATAATCTTGCATGCATTAACAGTGCGTTTGAATCATCACATTTGATTTAAATTTGGCAATCAAATGCACCTGACCTGGTTGAACTTCTCAGGAAAGTTCGACCAAACTTCATTCAGGCCCGCAGGCTGTTTGTCGGGAACTTTGTTCTGTACAGGAGAGAGGGTCAGACTTTCCAAACAGCTCATCGCTGGGGGCTAGAAGGCTAAAGTTCCCTCGTTAATTTAAATACTGATAATCTCGTGAAATATATTTTATCATTAGTCATGAATTATTTTAGCACGACTTTGAAGTATTATTATTATTATTATTCCACGAAGAGATTGTCGTGGCGTCTCGTTCGGATCGAACTTCGAGGGCACGTTACAAGTGGCTATTTAACAAAGGTTGTACGCACTGTTCAAATTTAAAGTCCAACATATGAATTTATTTTACAAATTTGAGATCACATTGGAATATGAACATTTTTCGAGAGATTATTACAGGAACTGAGTTACATAAAGAGTATTTTTTCACATTCGAGTTTAATTTGTTGTACTTTCTATTATACTTTCACGGTTAAGCTGAATGAATATGTGATGTTTTTCATTACTCGGTTGTTAATTATTTGCTCTAATTCAGTCCGGTAACGCTTATCGTTAGTCTCGTGTTAGGGTTTTCATGATGAAAATTATTTCAATTTTGGTTCGGTCGAAAATTAATTCAAGTTTGAATTTCAAGACCATAAAAATCAAACATTAAGTCACCCAAAATTTTATTGATAAAACAATAGAAAATTTGGTACTATTTTTGTTGAGGCTGCAAGTTCGCGAGAAGCTAATCCGTTGTCCTTTCACCCGCGAGAATCTGATTTGCTGCCCTAGACGTGACCACACGCAACGCCAGTGCAGAGCGCTGACACGTATGTTAGAATCTATTCAATGTCGTGTACAGGGAGCAGCCGATAGTCAATGTATCTCTCAATTTTCTGTTTTGATTATGTAGCGTATTTTTCGTTTAACTAATTGCATATAACATTTATGGAGAGTTTATTGATAAATATTATATGACAAGATTTAATAAAAAATTAAAAATTGCTCAATTTGACAGGAAAATTTTCTTTTTCTTTTAGTTTTACTAATTGCATATGACATTTATGGAGAGTTTATTAATAAATAATATATGATTAGGTTTAATAAAAAATTAAAAATTGCTCAATTTGACTGAAAAATGTTCTTTTTCTTTTAGTTTTTCTAGTCACTGCCAGCAAAGTAATAACATTTTTACGCTTTTTTCAATTTGACAGTCCATTCGATACTGTAAAATAAATTTCTGACGCTTCCGAACTTCAAAAATTGCATACCTGAACAGTGTCCATGTTTCAAATGCAAATGTATAATTATTAATGTGACACTCGTCTGTAAGTCAAAGTTAAGTAATACGCGGTGCAACTAAGACCATTTTTGCTGAGAAGCTGCAATATATACATTTTTCTCACATGCATTGATGTCAATAACGTGCACGCATTGATGTGCACGTGCACATCATGTCAATAACGTGCACTTATTGAATAGAGTGGCGCAACAAGACACGACATGTATGCCTCATAAAGTTGCAGCTACCTTGCATTGACCTGCAATGGACACATGCAGTGCTTCCATGTATCGCGTTCTCATTATCGCTCATGCCCTGGCGACCGACTAAACACTGCACGTGCGTTAGCAAGCCGACCGATCAATGAATCTTAACTAATTCAAGATCATTTCAAGGCAATTTAGAATAAATGTGTATCGCCATCAATT